AATATTCATTAATATTAGTCCTTTATACTCTTCCTTTAATAACTTTCTTATAGTAAAAGAGATGAAATTAATATCTGAAATAAACTGGTGATTCATTTATTTAATGTTGCTCACTAATATTTACCCCTCAGCTACTATGGCATTCTCCAAGGACAACTAAAAAAAAGGAACAAAAGGATTAATGAGCCAGTTTCCATTACCCTTCTATCAAAATGAATTGTATGCATGTATGATCAAAAGATAGTAACAAAGAAAAATCACTAACAATATACTTCAACAGCAGTGCTTTATAATACATATTTTATTTCCACATACTTTGATACACATTGTTCTGTTTTAATCCCAAAACAATTCAGACAGCCATTTTGTAGATGAAGACAGTGAGGCTCATAGAAGTTAAGTGACTTGCTTAAGAGCCCACAATTTCCAGGTAGCCAAGAAAGGATTAAAATCCAAGGTCTAATTTCTGGTCCATCATTTTTTTGACCATAAAATCAGAGGCAGTAATCTGTACATCAGTCAGTTTAGAATCATGTAGAGCTGGAAGAGACGTTACAGATTACCTAGTCTAAAACACTTATTTTATAGACTAAGGTTCAAAGAGATTAAATGTATTTCATAGAGTTATAGAACAAGCTAATGGTAGAATAACCACAATTAAAACCCAATAGTTAATTCCCCAGGTTGGCATTTTTGCCATTAAATGTTTTTTTCACTCAATCAAAACTCTTTGCATCATAGAATACACATCTCTTAGTACTGGTCATTCCTGGGTAGTTGTATTTTAATTGATTTTTTTTCTATTGCTTATCATTGTTTTATGATTTTTCTCCATTTGCTATAAGGGAGAAGGACATTAATTGTTCTATTTTAAAAATAATCCACAAATGTTTAAAACTTTGTTTTGTGAAATGTAAATCCTTACAGTTTTTGAAATGATTTAATCACTGCTAGAAAGGTAAAAGAAAACTATCAAGGTGTGGTATAGTGACCTTCGAACGTATTCCTCACTAAGGACTTTTTCTTCAATTAGAAGAAGTGTTCTTTTGCTGGTCACTGTTCTTATGTTTGTATTCCAAATATAAAGAATCATTTTATCCAGCTACAAAATTAGTAGCCAGATTCTGAGGATTATATATACATTTTCAGAAAGGTTATTAAAGGTGATTAGTGTTATGAAATACATTATTATGCTGATAAATTAAGAAATAATCTAGTAACCTAAAATATTTAATACAGCACCAAAAGTAATTAATAGTCTGATGAAAGTGCTTTTCTTTTTTTTTTTCTTTTTTTTTTAAGATTTTATTTATTTATTTGACAGACACAGCGAGAGAGGGAACACAAGCAAGGGGAGTGGAGAGGGAGAAGCAGGCTTTGCGCTGAGCAAAAAAGAAAAGAAAGTGAAGGGGGGGCGTCTGGGTGGCTCAGTTGGTTAAGCGACTGCCTTCGGCTCAGGTCATGATCCTGGAGTCCCTGGATCGAGTCCCGACCCTCCCCCTTCTCATGCTCTCTCTCTCTCAGTCTCTCTCTCAAATAAATAAATAAAATCTTTAAAAAAAAAGAAAGTGAAAAGTTTTAGTTAGGAATCTTTATCTACTTTTACTCTCCCCTTTTCTGAAATAACTCTTTGGCTCTTGTGTTTTTGAAACTGGATTTTGATCATTTTTTCTTCCCTTACTTTTTCTTTGGCCCAAACTACAGTTAAATTAAGAATATCATACTTGGGAGAGCGCTGGGTGGCTCAGTCAGTTAAGTGTCTTCCTTTGTCTCAGGTCATGATCCCAGGGTCCTGGGATCAAGCCCCTCATCAGGCTCCCTACTCAGCAGGGAGTCTGCTTCTTCATCTCCCTCTGCTGTTCCCCCTGCTTGTGCACTCATTTTCTCTCTCTCTCTCTCTCTGTCAAATAAATAAAATCTAAAAAAAAAATTCGTATTTGGTATTTTACAGAATTTTATAATGTCAGGTAAATCTATATTTTGTAATACGATTATTGTTTGGATGATAAATGAAGTCTAGAGAAATTAGGTAATTTGTTTACTGGTCACTTAGCTGTCATCAGTCAGTTCTAGTGGCAGAGACAAGGTTAAAACCCATGACTTCTGATCCTGTCATCCTCTATGCTGCTTTTTTCTCACTCGGCTATTGCAGACCTATTTTTCAAGTTAGCTTTTGTTCAGAAAGCTACATGTCCAGTATTTTAAAAGTAATATTTATATATACCCATGAATTTAATGTTTTAACTTTGAGGAAAAGTTGGATTTTTTACAAGTTTTTGTGTTGATAGTTTATCCTGTTAAAATAAATTTTTATCTTGTTTTAGATGAGCTACTTTTGCCTCATATGAAAAAAATAGATAGCATGCTGAATGATAACCGAAAGAGACTTCTTTTGAATCTTCATTTGGATCAGTCATTCAAGGTATTTCCTTCAGATGATTTATTAGCAAACTCACTGGCAATCATAGTCTTAAGTATAATAGGCAGGAAATTTATGAAAGTCATTCTCAGTTTTATACAATTTTTCACCCAATGAAAATTTGATTTTTATTCATTATGAGTCTGTTCAGCTTGTCTTTTTATTTTATTAAGCCCATTCTTAGTGTTAATCATTTGCTTTTCACTGCTTAAATTCATTTTTTAGGCTTTTATATGCATCTAGAATTCCTTCTACGTAATTTCCAGATGTTTTCAAAAGTACTTCCTTTAAACTACCAAATTGCAGTCATTTTTCTTTTAAACCTTTTCAAAATTTTCATATTTCATCTATAATTAGAATTGGCCTTTTCTTAGCATAGTTATCAAAATTCCCTTACATACCTGATTTACTCAGTATCTGAGGAAAAACTGATCCTAACATAATGGCAGATATATATAGCTATATCTGTTAATATAGCTTGGAACTCTAAGTTGGTTTTGGTGTTATCAGAAATATAGAACAACAAAAAGCTAATCTAAACACAGAAAATTTATCATAGAAGTTACTTCGTAGTCAAAAATTTCCAGCTTTTCTTATTAAAAATGTAACATACAACATTTAGAATCATTTGATCATACCTACCTTGGGAGAAGTTTTTTTATGCATTTGTATAGCTTTTTATTTTTATCAAGAGACTTTATTTTTATAGTAGTTTTAGGTTTACAGCAAAATTGAGCAGAAAGTACAGAGAGTTCCCATCTACCACACATGAACAACCTCCCCCATTATCAGCATGTCCCACCAGAGTGGTACATTTGTCATAATTGTTGAACCTACATTGACTCATCCTTCTAACCTGAAGTCCATCGTTTGCATGGCTCACTCATGGTGGTATACATTCTGTTGCTTTGAGGAAGAAAAGTATAATGACATGTTACCTACTATTAAGGTGTCATACAGAATAGTTTCATTGCCCTGAAAATACTCTGTGCTCTATTTATCCTTCCCTCCTTCCCCACCTAACCTCTGGCAACCACTGATCTCTTTACTGTCTCTATAGTTTTACCTTTTCCAGAACGTCCTATAGTTGAAAACCGTATCATATGTAACCTTTTCAGATTGGCTTCTTTCAAATACTAATAAGAATTTAAGGTTCTGGGGCACCTGGCTGACTCAATCAGTAGAGCATATGACTCTTGATATCAGGGTTGTGAGTTCAAGCCCCATGTTGGGCATAGAGCTTGCTTTTTAAAAATAAAAAATAAAGATCTAAAAAATCATTTGTTTAAAAAAAAAAAAGAATTTTTTTCTAACTTGTCTTTTCATGGCTTGACAGCTCATTTCTTTTTACCAGTGAATAATGTTCCATTGTCTGAATATACCACAGTTTATCTATCCATGTACTGAAGGACATCCTGGTTGCTTCCTTACCTTGGCAATTATCAATAAAGCTACTATGTAAACATTTGTGTGCAGGTTTTTGTGTGGATATAAGTTTTCAACTCATTCGGGTAATTTGTATAGCTTTTTCACATCCCTGTTTTATCTGAACTCCACGTAAAAGTGAAAGTTGACTTCATTTTAGCTAGGTGAAAATTAAAGCTCTGAGACTGAGTTCAAAATTAAATCTCACCAGAGGTGCCTGGCTGGCTCAGTCAACAGAGCATGTGACTCTTGATCTGGGGGTTGTAAGTTTGAGCCCTGCATTGGGTGCAGAGTTTTCTTTTAAAAAAAACAAAGTTAAATGACACCAAACTACTAATGGTCCTATATTCTTCACTGACATGCACTTGCAAAGAAAAAAAAAGTCAAAGGGTAGTATGAAACCCAGTACTAAGAATCTGGTCTACCGACTCCTAGTCCAGTATTTTCTGCTTAACTGCTGTCATCAAATGAAATTTGGAAAATGCCATATTTTCTGCAGAGAAGAGAATGCTGTTATATGTGTGTTTTCTAAAAATTTACTAAATCTTTAAAATGACCAGTTTGGGCTACCCATTTTATTTTATTTTATTTTATTTTTTTAAGATTTTATTTATTTGCGAGAGAGAGAATGAGAGACAGAGAGCATGAGAGGGAGGAGGGTCAGAGGGAGAAGCAGACTCCCTGCCAAGCAGGGAGCCCGATGGCGGGACTCGATCCCGGGACTCCAGGATCATGACCTGAGCCAAAGGCAGTCCCTCAACCAACTGAGCCACCCAGGCGCCCTACCCATTTTATTTTTAAAGATTTTATTTTTTTTAAGTAATCTCTACACCCAAAGTGGGGCTCAAATTTATACCCTCAAGATCAAGAGTCACATGCTCCACTGACTAAGCCAGCCAGGCCACCCATTGGCTAGCCATTTAGAAATGTTAAACCAGTTCTCTAATAACTTGTATCACCACTTGGAATTTAGTAGATTCAGTAGGTATTTAAGGCTTATGCAATAGTTTATGATGAACAACTGAAAAATTAGTTTTCATATTCTTATTTTCAAAGAAAAAAACCACAGAATTTCTAATTTTAAAATTAGTTATTTTTATTATTTTCATTTATAGCAACTTGCATTTCAAAGCCAAAATATATCCACAGTATTACAATATGATTTTAAAATAGTAAAATACAACAAATAGTAAATTATAAAAGATTAAAAGATTTTCTGTTCATTAGAAATGATTAACACCATTAACATGATGATCTCAGTCATTTTGGGAATCCGAAAGCCTTTTGAAGTTAATCATGTTCTGTTTTCCTCTGAAATCCATGTGCTTCCAATCATCTTTAGCGTCTTATCATGAAAGGTGCTTGGGAACTCAAGAGTCTGGAAGAGAGTTGGCCTTAAAGGTTGTAACTGTTTATAAAACTGTAGCTTATCAAATGGGAACTTCCTTCTGAATGATAAATATAATGGGAGCACTTGAACCCTTTTAGTGTCAAAATAATAAATGATTGTGTGAACTCAGTTTAATCTTTTAAAACAACTTTTTTTTTTTTTTTTTTTTTTTAAGTAAACTCTATGGCCAACTGAGCCAGCCGGGTGCCCCTTAAAACAATACTAAAACTAGTTAAATTTAGCTACAAATATCATTCAGTTATTATTTGTAGTTTTTCATGTCCAGATGATTTGCCAAGTAGTTAAGGGCAAAATATGCCAGTGACTTTTAATGAGTGGCCTAGAATTGGTTTGGCCACATGGCCACTAAGTTATCAGTGAGTAACTACTGTGTCATTGTGGCCACAAAATGCATCAAGGTCTGTTTTAGACTCTTCATACAACTGAGGTCAAAAGAAGCAGAGACGTGGTGAAGCCAGAGAAGTATTACAATGCTACTTGTTTTCACTGTTCTCATCAGGGAGAGATCCCATTCATCTGGGATCAGATGCGTTCTTTATAGCAGGGCTTGGCCAAGAGTCAGGTGTTGACAGTGGTTGAATTGGTAGAGCTTTGAAGAAACCTGTGTCCCTCTTTCTCCTACTCTGAAGCCACAGAGAGGCATTTCTAGAACTCTCTGGCTTGTTAAGGAGTCCCTACAGTGCCATGTGCTATTGGCATAAAGCAGGTCATAAGGTAAGGTTCACCCAGATTCAAGGGATGAGGAAGTAGGTTCCACATGGTGATGGAGGAGCTACAAAGAATTTGTGGCTCTGTTTAATACCCACGTGTATTTCTATATTGTATATTACCATACCCCATCTATATACATGTGTGTATTATATATAAATGTATGTATATATTTCTGTATTTTTCAAATAGCTGGAAGTAGTTTGGATTAGTTTTCTTCTGATGTCAGTTATTTTTGCTTTATTTTAAAGAATGCTTTGGAAAGCTTTCCCGAACTAACAATAATTACTCGAGACTCTAAAGCAAAAAGTGGGGGTTCTACTATTTCTAAAATCAAAATGAATGGCAAAACTTATAATAAGAAAACTCTAAGGACTTCTAAAACAACCACCAAATCTGCACAAGTAAGTATATATGGTTTGATATAATTATGCCTTTTCCAGTTAATATAATTCCTCTTTAAAATATTGAAACAAGCAAATACTTTATTGTTATTAACTGTGAAGTCTTTTCAGGTAGGAATGAGCAGCTCCGTCCAGCTCAAAGAACAGATACTCGGTCTTATTTTGTTTTTCTCCATTGTCCAGCACAGTATCTGCATGTAGTTAGTGCTTGCAGTTTTGGGTTTTTTTAAGATTTTATTTATTTTATTTGAGAGAGAGACTGAAAGAACAAGTGGGAGGAGGGGCAGAGGGAAAAGCAGACTCTGCTGAGCAGCAAGCTGGATGCGGGGCTCCATCCCAGGACCCTGGGGTCATGACCTGAGCTAAAAGCAGATGCTTAACTGACTGAGACACCCAAGCACCCAGTGCTTGCAGATTTTTAAAATAGATGAATAGGCAAGGAATTACCTGATACCTATATTTATATTTTCTGTATATTTTTTTGTCATTAGATATAAATGCATATAGGTAAGTATGCACATGTTCCATAAGATTCAATATTCCATATCTGCAAAATTATTGAAATTGGAATTCACTCATTTTCAAACATAGTCTAAACTATTGCCTTTTTAGAAATCAGTTTAGCAACATCAATTTCACGTCAAAAATATATTTTGTAGAAACACATTCACAAATGCATAAAAATGTATGCTTTTGCTCATTGCCTAATTATAAGAGCAATCCAGTTATGCATCACCAGTGGGAAACTGGATAAAGAGCCATCCAGATAATGTAATACTATGTAATTTTTAAAAAGACTCATTCATTCTTTCAGTAAAATTTTTTGAGTGCCTGTTGTGTGAATACAGTTCTAAGCACTAGGAATAGAACTGTGAAAAATGGTCAAAATTCCCTGCCCTCATGTAATTTATAGCAGTAGGGGTTATATGTAATAAATAGAGGCAAGTTATGGGGCGCCTGGGTGGCTCAGTTGTTAAGCGTCTGCCTTCGGCTCAGGTCATGATCCCAGGGTCCTGGGATCGAGCCCCGCATCAGGCTCCCTGCTCCCGCGGGAAGCCTGCTTCTCCCTCTCCCACTCCCGCTGCTTGTGTTCCCTCTCTCGCTGTGTCTCTCTCTGTCAAATAAATAAAATCTTTAAAATAAATAAATAAATAAATAGAGGCAAGTTTTAGTTAGGTTAAAAACAAGTTATAAAAAATAAAGTTGCAGGGGCGCCTGGGTGGCTCAGTCGTTAAGCGTCTGCCTTCGGCTCAGGTCATGATTCCAGGTCCTGGGATCGAGCCCCGCATTGGGCTCCCTGCTCGGCGGGAAGCTTGCTTCTCCCTCTCCCACTCCCCCTGCTTGTATTCCCTCTCTCGCTGTGTCTCTCTCTGTCAAATAAATAAATAAAATCTTTTTTAAAAAATTAAAAAAAAAAGCTGCAGAACAATATGTGTAGTAGGATTTCCTTCCCATTACAGAATTCGTGTCATTAATACATGTTATACATGGAAAAATATGGAAAAATATATACCCCGCTTTTGACCTTGTTTATCTCTGAAGCAAGAGATTATAGGATTCTTTTACTTTATAAGTCATCTTACATGTTTACTGTTTAAATTTTTCTATGTTTAAATTTTTTGAAATATTGTGTGTTTATATTCAGAAAAAAAGAGTGAAGATTCTAAAATACAATTTAAATTCTTTTTTTTAAAAAAGATTTTATTTATTTATTTGACAGAGAGAGACAAAGCAAGAGAAGGAACACAAGCAGGGGGAGTGGGAGAGGGAGAAGCAGGCTTCCCGCAGAGCAGGGAGCCCGATGCGGGGCTCGATCCCAGGACCCCGGGATCATGACCTGAGCTGAAGGCAGACAGACACTCAATGACTGAGCCACCCAGGCGCCCCTACAATTTAAATTCTTATTTTGAATAAACCTCTTGTCCATATTTAAGCCTATATCTAGCCATATTAGTCATTTATTTTTAAGATTTCCATTAAGACTTCTGGTCTAGTATTTTTGTAAAAGCATTCACAGTTCAAATAACCCATGAAATAAATATGACTATAAACTCTTTTCTTTTTATAGGAGTTTGCTGTTGACCCAGAGAAAATACAGCTGTATTCTTTGTATCATTCACTCCATCATTATAAATATCATGTTTATCTGATATGTAAAGATGAGGTAATTTTTTTCATTTATTTAAAAAAGAAATGTTTTTCTGAACTTTAAGGAGACTATAGCTATAGTATTTTTTTAATGTCTTAGAATTGTTAAAAAATACATGTGTCTATAATTGTCTTGTAAGTAATGTTATTCTGAGTCTCTCTGTTATGTGTTGTGCTCATATTAATCTGAGGCTCTTCCAGAGCTGTAAGTGGTAATGTTTTTAAACTGTTTGCTTAACTTTATGTTTTATGCTTGCTTTACATTGCCATAATAAATGGTACTTGATTTCATTTTCTTCCCTCATAATCCATCATGATCCTGCCTTAATTCACTTCAGTCACTGCTTTGATATCCTGCTGTCTTCCTTATCACTAAAATGGCCTTCTCCCACTTAATTGCTGAGAAAGGGGTTTTTGTACATGGTCAGGAAGAAATGATAGTTAAAATTTAATTGTAACTTTTACGTATCATAATTTAAGTTGCTCAGAAGTTATATATGACAATAATACCACTTTGTGGGTGGGATAGAATGATCAAGTTCCTCAAAGCTTAAATGGCTGTGGACTAGACTTTTTTATCAGCACTACCAGCTGTTAAAGAGTTAAGTTGTGGATTGAGGCTACACTTGATGTATTTGATGATAATAGATGGAAAGATGTTCATAAATCTAATCTAGCAAAGGAGAAAATAAAGATTGTCATGCAAAATATGATGACTATTTTTATGTTGCTCTGAATTGCAGAATTCACCCCAAAATTTGTCACTTAGCTTTTAACACAATTGGAAGGAATTCAGAAGTTTGAACCGTTTATTTTTTTCTAGCCTTCCTCTTTGCCCTCATGGAGCTAAAAATGATAGGATTAGGCTTCACCCAAATTTATATGAAATAATCATTCTCCATGGATGGCATTTTTTTTTAATCCATATTTGTAGGTGTATTCATAAAATCCTTTTCATTCAAGATACAGAAACCATAAACCCTTATGAAGAGCTCATAATGTGATAAGTATAAGCTAATGTGGTCATTCTCTTTATTTTAGATTTCTTCTGTGCAGAAAAGAAATGAAGACTTAGGACAGGAAGAAATTGTTCAACTTTGTATGAAAAATGTAAAATGGGTGGAAGACCTATTTGAAAAATTCGGAGAACTTCTAAATCATGTACAGCAGAAATGTTCCTAACATTTCCACGGAAGTTCCGTCTGTGTTATAGCACTAATGAACTGGCAGAGATGGGGGGCCACAGGGGGTGTGGGGCCTCAGATACGTGAGCGTGAAGCGGTGGTCTCCTGCGGGCACACCTGCTTTGCTCTTAGAACTTCCTGGTGACCTCTGCTGAAGGACAGTGGTGCTGCCCAGGAAGTCAGGCCTTTGGAAATGGACCTAAAATCCCACCACGTTTTTATCCTAATGAATGATTTTTCTATTTTGTAAACCATTGGGTAACTGAGTTTTATTTTCAGAAATGTTTTTTGACAAATGATGAAGCATGCACTAAATACAATTTTTCTTTATTGCTAGAGAGAGAACACTTCAGTAACTTGATGATTTTTTTCCTGACTCTGACTAAACACCAGAACGAAAGAGAGGTGGCACCAAACGCCTGTTTATATTTGTGTCTGGCCACAAAATGGAAAGTGTTGTACGTTATGTAAACAGAGCTGGTGCGATGTGACAGTTTGTATGAGAATATCCTCAATTTAAAAT